TATTTATGGTAATAATATGTATACTAAGCCTGAAGGTGGCGCTTTCCTACGGCAGCCATCTTGGATGGTACACATACACAACTCTGCATTGCTCCGCCATCTTGTCAGCACTCTAGTTGTTTAATAGCTCTATGGATTAAGTATACATACCGTCACTGTTGTTACTTTGAGGAGGCGGTTCCTCGGTTAATACGCAATCCGTATCATTCTTCCCAATAGCATACAAGTGCAGCGTGGCCGTGGCTGACTCTATATCAACTGTGCGCATGCGCTTTTTGTGATAGGACGGTACAGAAAACACTATACGATAACTTTTACTTGCTTCGTCCTCAGTCAATGTTTTTGTATCTGTAAATTATTGAAAACACAAATAGTCAACGGATAAGTCAATAATTTATAAGCATGAATCTGTACAATTGGAGCAATGATGGGAAATCATTAAGATAATATTATAATTACACACTAATAATAGGCCTATTGACAATAATAATAATAATGATAATAATAATAATAATAATTATTATTATTATTATTAGGCCTATAATAATAACTATTATTATTAATATTATTATTATTATTATTATTATTATTATTATTATTATTATTATTATTATTATTATTATCGTGCAAAATCATCGTTCAAAATCGTGCAGTCCGAGTCATTCATAAAGTACCACCTCGTACACAATCCGCTTCATTATTTGAACCAATAAAGGTTATGTGTTACCCAACGGTACCTTTACCAACTAGCGTGTCTCACATTTAAATCTTTGAGGGGACTGGCTCCAGACTATCTGGCCCTACGACTGGATATCAGACAGCAAAGGCACATGCGCACCAGATCCGTTGCCGTTGGTAATATATTCCTCATCCCAAACTCCATTTATTCAAATCATCTTTCAGTTACCAAGCTCCTTCATTCAATACCCTCCCACTTACCATCACCACCATACCTGCTTACAACACCTTCAACAAATACATCAAACAACACATTTTAAACAAAGATTTATATCCCCCTTTTTCTTAGTTTTTTTCCTGTATGGGTTCGGGTGTTTGTGTGTATGTGTGGGGGTGTTGGTGTGTGTGGGTGTATGGGTGTGTGTGTGTGTGTGTGTTTTTTTACTTGGTATGTTTTGTCTGTTTTCTTTCTTTTGCTTTCTTCTTCTTATTTTATATTTTTAGAATTTTAATGTTTGATGTTTTAAATTTTATGAATAATTGACAGATTGGCTATATTTGTATATACTTTTTATATGTTTGTATTTAAGTGGGCCCCTGAACATCAGATTTACTCTGTAAGGGTAGCCCACTCAAAACATGGTTTTAAATAAATAAAGAAATAAATTATTATTATTATAATATCAGTTAGATACCTTCAACTGAAAGAGAAACTTTTTGTTAGATCTATGCTTGATACCATAACATCATATTATTCGAGCACTATTTATCTATTCATTTATTTGTTTATATTGAGTTTTTACCTACTTTGAATATTATTATTTACGATGACTTTCCAACTGCAAGTAGTTTCTGACTTAACCACAGTTCCACAATGTACAAGCACAAAATCAGTTGTTAGAGAGAATGTATCTGGGTGTTAAGATCTGTGTAAATATATGTCTCTTTGATCTGCAGGTAGTTGCCTTGATAGCGGAAGAATCCTGCCAACTTTTATTGCAAGAGGTTCGATACAATTACAACATCATTCA